ATATATATATATATATATATTACTATTATTAAATATTCTTAATATTATGCAATGGTATAATATATACATAACATTTATATTATAAAATTGCACAAACTTCAAAGGTTTCAAGTTATGATATCTACCACTAGGTGGCAGCATTGTACAAAACATACTTCATGTCAAAACAAGACACCATTTCAAAAGCACTACTGAAACTGTTGCAAAATTCCTGTTTCCGTTTACTACATTAAAACTTGCACTACAAGTGTGAAGAAACACTGGTCTTTGGTAATTATGTAACGGTGCTTTCAGCTCCTGGTACAGGGCAGGGAATGAGAAGTGTGATAATGCGGCACCGACTACCCAGAATGCATTGGGCCACATCATCTTATGACACAGTAAAAGGAAACCCTCCAGGCAAGTTCACATTGCTTTTGAGTGATCTATTCCTTCAAGCTATGCGATTTACTATCATCAAGCTCTTAGCTCCAAGTTGTTCCACCTGTGTTCTGCAGCTGGTACTGAGAAACCAGGAACCGGGTCTTTGGTGCCGTAGTACTTCTTGATTACACCGATCCCGGCCACGGTGTCTGTTCCTTTGAAGTTTACCAAGTGTGCAGATGCGCCGATACCAGCCGTCTGAAACGGAAACATAAGTAAAACGCACAGCTAGTGCAGAAACTAAACCATCAAGAGAAAATTACAGGGTGGAGGATGTGTACCGTATGTATAAAATGCTTGGTATTTACAATTTGAATGGTATGAATATAAGTAAGGAGACACTTCTGACTTGGATAGAGCCTCATCTCAGACATTCCAAGCATGTACTTAAATCAGATTTGTTGGGTTTGGTTAACAGTAAACAGTCTCTCTGAGCTTTTAGCACTAGTGTAGCAACACATAAATGTCACCTCTTGCGATGAAACCCCTCTGTAGCCGAAGTCATGCAGTTTATATTCCAGTCCTTCCAGGCTTCCTGACGTTTCCATGAGATATTTGGCCAGAATCTTCTTCTGTTCTCTTGAGTTTGTCGCGACGGTGATGGGATACCAGGTCTGAACCAGGATAGTCTGTTGAGAAGACCAATTTCCATCATTGTATCAGTTTCCTCAGCTATTAACATATGTGCAGTTTTGCTAGCATTTTGCACAACGAGTAAACACTTCCTGTGAGTTTTCCACCTAATGGACCTTATCCTGTATTGTCACATCTGAAAGTGGCAAATTTCTTGGAATTCAAAAACAAAAGTGTAGTCAGCTGGAACCTAAATCCAAAAGCAGCCTAAAGCTTGATGCGACCCGAGTGCTTGGGAATGTGTCACAGAGTCAACACAGCGACTGCACAGAGGGTTTGCTGGACTCAAACAAGGGGATGCCAGGCAGAAATGCTTTGTTGAAGACCAAGCCGGTCAAGTCAATATTATCATACTGCACACATACCCTGATAAGATCTGGCGCTCTTTGGGCACAAGAACATCCCAGTGTCCCAATCACATGGACTCGATTCAACTCATCTGACCTGAGATTTTTAATGGAATCGTGTTTTGGAGTTCGCAGTTGTGTCACTTTTGGATGATTTTTTTGCAATGGCTGAATCGGCTACAAAATCTCCACTATCCTCATTTCATAGTGATAATATACATTTCTCATTGTAATCTCTGAACAATCAACCCATTTTACTTAAAGTGATGTATTTTTAAGTGAAACAGGATATTCAGTGAGAAAAATGTTGGATGGGATTTGATTTTGTCCATTAGGAACTGATTGGATCATGAAAAGTGGGCATTAAGGCCCTAATTTCTTAAACCAATGCATACATAGCTATTTGGCTACCAGATAGCATTAGTCAGTAGCTCATATAACCTAATAAAATTATGTCAATCAAAAATAAAGTCATTTCAGAGAAAAACAAAATGCACTGATGAAACCTAATAAGATGATAACATTAATTCATTTTATTAGTAATAATAACAATAATGATAACTATTATTACTTTATTATAATAAGTAGTAATAATTATTACATTAATAATAATAAATATTATTATATAAAATAATTTTAGAAATTACAGTAAAATTGCATATATTTATATATATAAATTACAATAAATTATTTAAATTACATATTATTATTAAATAATGAGTATTTCATAACAAATTAGTAATAAAATAATTATTATTATTATTAATTAATTATAAGAAATAGTAATAATTATTACATTAATAATAATAAATATTTATTATATATAAATAATTTTATTTGAGAAAATTACATATAATTTACATATTTAGATTACAATAAATGATTTAAATTACATAACATATTTATGGCCGTCCTAATTTCTTTGCTTTCACATGTTAAACCATGGAGCTTTTTTTTT